GGCTTCTTTTATTTTAGATATGATTAATCCATGCTTTCGAAATTCGTCAGATGGATGAGATGATAAGTATAGTTTGATTTTGGACCGAAGAACCCTAATGCATGACTTATGCAGCTTTATGCTTTATGATTATGACTCAAATGTTTTTTGAATGGTGCCTCTGTGATGGGTCGTGGGTGATTAAAGCGTAGAGGTTTTCCTATGCGACAAGGTTGCTTATCACATAGTGGTTGAATGTTGTGCTATCATGATTTGCTGATACTCGATTTAAACTTGAAGATTGCTGATGTAGGAGAAAGATCCACTGGAGGTTATGAGAGTACGCAGAGATCTTTCCCCTATGTGGAATGCTTTTCCTTAATTTGTTGGTAGGGTCTTAGAGGAGATTTTCATTTATATATGTTTGGAAACAGTTTGATCATAATATGAATGACCCTAATATTTTGTATTATGCCCCTAACTAAAAGATTCTTGAAAATGTTTAGCTTTGATAAACCATTTTGAATCAACTCCCTTTTGATCGAGCCTTGCAGTAGTTTTCCCCAACATTAGAATTTTGGAAGACATGCCCCTCAGTCTCCAGGATCTGGAGGAAGCACCCTCAAAAGGAACTTAGGACCCACCATGAACTTGTCATAGATTACCCCAAGTATTCGAAGCTTGAAAAGATTTGTGCTTGAAGTTGCTTGAAGAAGAATTTGGATCCTACGTGCAATAGGTGAACTTGGTACATACTGCCCCAACATTTGAATCTTGGAAGGTTGCCCATGAATCAAGGCTTTGAGAGGTTTATTAAAACAAGGAAACTGAGTCATACCCTGTTGTAGTATGACTTGGTTAAGGAATGTTCCTTCGAAAGGTATGCCCCTTGTTGAATAATGATTTGAAATTTGATCTAAGTTGATTGAACCTCAGAATGATTTCCCCTAGTCAATAGTATCTTCATGTGATATACCCCTATGATCAATAATATTTTCCCCTGTTTATAGGGGTCCTCTTAGATGCTTTGCCCCTAGTTAGAAGCTTCTTGGAAATGTTGCCTTTGATCAGACCCTTTTGAAATCTCCTTGGTGCTAAGTATTGATTCATATATAAAATTGTACATTTTGAAAAAGTAATTTTGTTTGATGCACATGAAAGTTCTTGAAATCAAAATCGATTATTTGAAAAGAAATGGAAGATTAGAAGATGAATATTCAAAGAAGCGAAGTAGTTAGAAATAAATTTAACAAACATAGGAGTCAGTTTAACACAAATCTTGCCGATTATGCTTTCATAGTGAACCTAGCTTCAATTAGAAATTTTGAAGGTTGTAACGTGGCCATGGTTCGTGGTTTAAGGAATAAAATATATAAGGCTCAAAATTTATTTATCCCACCCATTCTCCTTGATATTCTCCAATCCTAATTTCAATTAATCTGATAGATGCGTTTAATCCCTAATTGATTTGCTTTGACTTAGCGGGCTTTCTCCTTTTTATTTTGAATTTCTCTTTTTTTTTTAAATTTGTTTGCTTTTGATTTTGACACTTGTGACTGTCATGCTGATTATTGTAAGCTCCGTCTTCTTGATTGATGTATCGAGGAAGAAGATGTCGTGGATTTTGTCTTCGTTGATTCCTCAACCTTAGATGATGAACACAGGGAAGATGATGTGATCGAATCTTTGCTTAGATTATTCTCTCAATGATGTATAGAGGAAAGAGATATGCTCGAACCTTTTCTTATATCGCTTTGATTCTCCTGGGAATTGAATGCAACATCGAATTAATTGAAATCTACCCTGCCCCTGGTTAAGATTAAGACTTTTTAGAAAATAGAAAGAACTCTGACTTCTGGCTCGAGGGGGTTAACTGCGGATTAACTCCTTATATCTTCACTGTTTAGGAATTGAAACAATGCTTACATCATCAGCTAAGCCTTACTATTAAAAAGCATACGCCAGTAAAACTCGATTATTTTGTATTTTCATCATTCTCCATCAAAGTTTGTTAAAGTTATGCAATGGAAGATAGAAAAGAAGAATAGAAAGTCGTTGATTATTTGTGGAATGGATCGATTTCAAAAACATGCATGCTTACTTTATTAGAATTACTTGACCAAAGAGTACAAAGTTTATAACAAATAACACTTAGCAAGAAATAAATTACAATTTGAAATGATAAAGGCCTAATGATCTAGAGATAATCCCTCTTGTTGATCCAATGACTTTAGGGGATCCTTCTTAGTCTTTGGATTTGTCAAAGCAAGGGCGACCATTCGCCAATGAGACCCCTTCTTCAAAAGTTAACTGCTTATTGTTGATCGAGTCTTGGACCTTATGTCTGAAAGTCCAACATTTTTCTATAGTATTCCCCTGGGAATTGGCATGATACTCGCACCTGGTGTTTGCATCATACCTTGGTGGGAGTACCCCACTCGAAGGATTCAGTAACTTCTGCTCTACCAAAGATGCCTTGAGTAAATGTTGTAGCAGTTGACTGTGCGGTATGGGAAGTGGATCAAATATCCTAGGTGATAGCTTTTGTGTTTTCCTTTGTTGGGCATATTCCTTATGTTGATAAGGTTTGTTGTAGTCGCTGTTGAGGCGATGGAATTTCCCATAGTGGTGGCATCTGTGAAGTTGAATAAGAATGTGGCTGGGATGACGAAGGGTTACCTTCACTTCTCAGTAATAATTGCATGATCAAGATATTTTGAGTATTCAACTGGTGGACCTCTTCCTTAAACACCTCTTGATCTCTTTTGAGTTCCTATATGGCTTCTTGGGACATGCTTTGAGTTTGTTTGTGAGTATCGAGAATCTTGCTAGCTGGATCGTAGTTTGATAAGGGTGGAAGTGTAAATGATATGAACTTTATACAAATGGATGAAAATGAAAATGTATGAAGATGCTTGGGTATGAAAAAACATTTTTTGCTTTTAGGTATGCAAAAAAGTTTCATGGATATGCAATGCGATGTACACGTAGTATGATGGTGGACGTAGGGGTACCCTATACAAGTTTGATGATCATATCCTACTATGACTCAGAAGTTGAGACAAGCAGGGATTCCTTGAGGATTATGGCTATGAAAGACGACGAGGAGTCCCTACAGGATAAGGATTACGACATAGGCGGAAGCCCTGTGGGCTAGAGATAGTAGTGGATGGAAAGATAACCCTTGTGGGTTTAAAGAGTGTAGTGGGTTTTGTGAAAGGTATCCTTAGAAGGTATGTTCCTAGTCTTGGCCTACGAATATTCTACCCTCCCATAAAGTGGTTTTCTTAAGGGTGTCATGAATAACACTAGAGGGAAAGGCACAAGGACCTCCCTTAAGTAGAGTCTCTTTACAGACTGAAACTTTCATCTCTAGGTCATGTAAGGTCTCATCATGAGATTTTGGTTTAAAGGTCGTACAAAGAGTCATATGTGTCATTCTAAAGTCCTACTTCCCAAGAGGATGTCTCTCGAGAGGTATTCCTTTTGCTGAATTCCATCGACTCTAGGATAAGTCGTCGTATAAACTCATGGGGTTGATGTAACTCCTTGGCTAATAGACGAACCTTATTTCTAAGGGTTTTGAGAATAATTTTGTAGAATTTAAATCCCTCCATAAATGAATAAATGTAATAAATAATAAAAAAGATAACCAAGAAATAAATAGATAATTAAATAAGAAAGAATAAAAACCCAAAAAATAAGAAAAACCCTAAAACAAAAAGACAAGGCTTCTAAACCTAGGGCTGAGTCCCCAACAGAGTCGCCAGCTGTTGTAAGTGGTTTTTAATACAGAGTCGCCACCCTTAATTTTTATCCTAAGGAAGGGAGTATAAAGGAATAACCCTAAAAGTTCAGATTCTAGGTTGTTGACTCGGTTCTAGACGAAGGGAAGGTGGTAGGCACCCCTCACCTACCTTGTTCACAAGGATACAAGGTTTAGAAGCGCAATTTTTAGGAAAAAGGGTTTTAATTATTATTAGGGGAACTCGCCACGATTTTCATCGTACGCCTACGTATCCTCTTATGAGGAATTAGAGTCCCAATTCGTAGTTCGCGGTATTGGTTTGTGTTTTTTTATAGATTGCATATAATTGCTTTCTAATTAATCTTGAACATTATCTGGGTTGTAAGTTGAGTAATCGTAGACACAGTTCGTAGTTTGATTCAAAGACAATGCTATTTAATCCTTTTTTGAAAATAATTTTGATTTTATCATGTTAGTAGAAAATGGTTTTTGAATGTTGGTTAGCTGTTTTAATATTTTTTGATTGGTCGAATATGGTAAGACATATAGCAGGGGAGTCTGATATAATCTCCTCAAAACGTGGCCAAATATTGGCCACGTGTCATTCGCGGATGGTGAATTAGGTGAGTTGCGTGGATTTTAGTTATTTGATTTTAAATAATAAATCGGTAGATGATGTGTCGACCGATTTAATTACTCGAAGATGGACATCCTATTAGAATTAATTAATAAATTGTTTAAACTAAGAAAAATATTTGAATGATGTGCTATATTAATGATCTAATTAGCCTAATTAAAAAACCTATATATTTTTAATTCTTGGTATATTAATTAGATAAATTAAAAGCTTATTTTTGTGTTTTATCTTTATTTGATATTCCTTTTTCATAATTAAATCTAATTAATTGAATCAGAACAAACTAAATAATTTGACTTAAATAAAATAATTGTTTGATTAGAAACTAAAGGGTGTAATTCTGAAAAGAAAGGTGAGAAAACCAGACTTATAGAAAGATAGACCCAAAAACCCATTAACCAAAAAACCCTAGTTTTAAACTATAACCAAAAAACAAAATACTAAAAGAACGACTATTAGTACCAATTGGGACGACACTTCTCTCATCATCTTCATTACTGTCGTTGACAGTCTCCCTTTTAATTTTGTTTGACTTTTCCAGCTTTCCCTAGCCCATCAGATTGCGACACATGGCATGTGGGATAATAATAAATAAATAAAATAAAAACAAAACATACACCCACATTGTGAGAGAGAGATGGTTCCTCTGTCTCTTTTATCTCTTCTTCTCTATTGACCATCCCCACTTTTATTCACCTTTCATCTCTCTTCTCCCCAACTCTAGAAAAAGCTTTCACTTTCTCCTCTTCCATCCTTGCTTTAACTCCGAAATTACTGCTGCCCGGGCTTGGGATCGCAATGGTTTTGCGGTATACGGACAAAGGGATTGTCGGAGAAGCATGGCTGGATGCAGGGCGACGGTGAATCAGAGATGGAGGAACGTCGGAGGAGGTTGCTGCGTCGGGTGAGTGGGTGTCGCGGTTGAAGGGGTGTGATGTTCGAGAGAGCAGTTGCCTTCGGTTGTTGCACGCGGTCTAGTGTTAGTGACATGTTATTTACAAATTTGAGTCCAATCTTTTGGAGATTTTCCTTGTTGTTGCTGTGAACTTTTATGTTCTTTGCCTGTCAAAATGAATATCAGTGCATATGTTATGTAACATTCTTGAGATTGTACGTTTAAGAGACTTTGAAAATTATGGTCCTTGAAAGTCAAAGTTTGGAAGAGATATAAGTATGGTGGTAAGAATGGGTAAAGAAAGGTAGTAGAAATATGCTTGACAAATGAATGCGATAATGTTCTATTTTATATGTTGAAACACTGATTTTCATTTTCAAAAAATGAAGCAAATTGAAAATGGTGGTTATCACAAAAAATTATATAATCGTTCAACAAAACAAAACATAGATGGATAGCAAGTTGCACAAAAGTAATAATTAGTAACACAAAAACAATGAACAATAATTTTCTACTCTAATGTGCGTTAGTGAGTAGAAAAAAAAATATAATTGTTAGTGTAAAAAATGAAAACCTTATGTTTGCAAGCTTCATTCTTTACCAATTGTGTTATGTTACTGATTTATAAATAAAATCAATTTGAAAGTATATGAAAGGTGTGCAGATATTTGCTATTTTAAAAATACAAATAAGTTGAAATGAATCATTATATTTATAAATAGGTTTGGAAGTGAATATTTATAAAAATCAAATAATATTATAAAAACAATGTTTAAAATATTTTTGACTGCACTTGAGAATGAACATCTATAAAAATCAAATAATATTATAAAAACAATGTTTAAAATATTTTTGATTTTAGAAATAAAAGGGCGGGGAAATTTGGGGTATGACAACAGGGTTGCCCTTATTGTATGTTTTAGTAAGTACAGTAAACACTTATCATGGATACGGTAAAACTAACTTGGTTCACACTCATAACCATTCTCCAATCACCATAATCATCTTCAGCAGGATGACTAAATAAAGCGCAAATCCTTCCATCAACACAGTTATGGGATGATTTGCTGATGGTGGATAATCTAATTCTTCTCACTGAAAGTATGTCAGGTAGGTCTTGATGGCGGATACCATCTCCGCTACCTTTGAGACAGGCTTAGAAAAGGAACCAAAGTCCTAAATCACCTTTTCTAAAAAGGATGTTGTTAGCATCCTCCCTTATAATAATGATATCATGGTCATTACAATCAGTATGATAATTGGGACGTGAAATGAGTGATAATCGACCCCTGAAGCTTAGTGGAAATCTTGTTCTAGGATACCTTTGAGGGGCTTCGACTCGATCCAGATGAAATTTGGTCTTTTCGAGGTTCCTTGGTTGTCCTTTCATGAGAATACGTACTGGTGAAGGGCCATATAATGCTCAAGACAAGGTTGAGATTGGATACAAGCGCAAAGATGATCAAGGTCAAGTACTCATCCTAGCTGGCTAACATGGTTTTGGTCTGAAAGCCATCAAACAAATGGCATATGTACGTCGACTTCATTTACCTAAATGTTACCTTTCCTAAGGATCTCTACTTGCTTCGCAATATAGGGAAGTTGATTGATGGTTCCTTCAGTTACAAAACCATGAGTTTCATAGATGTACAATCAAATTACAATCAGATAAAGATGGACCATATGGATGCGACAAAGACATCATTCATGCATAACCATAGAAATTTCTACTACAATGTCATGCGCATTGGTCTGAAGAACATAGGTGCCACCTACCAAAGATTGACGAGTGTCATATTCTAAAAATAGATAAGGCAAAACCTAGAAAGAATACATTGATGATATGATTCTGAATACCTCATAAGGGAAAAGCCACACTGCATACCTAGAAGAAATCTTGGAATCAGTCAGGAGGTATAACATACGTTTAACCCTCTCCAAGTGCTCATTTGGCGTGCACGCGGATAAATTCTTGGGATTTATGTTAAATAGGAGAGGGATATAGGAGAATTCATACAAATTCCAAGCCATCATTAACTTGATATGTTCATCTAGTATCAAAGAGGTTTAACAACTAACATGTTGCATGGCTTCCCTTTCCCGTTTTCTTTCTTGAGAAAGTGACAAGGCAATCCATTTCTTTGCCACGTTGAACAAGAAGGAGAAAATCAAAGGGACGGGCGAGTGCGAGGAGGTGTACTCTAATATTAAGGTATTCCTAGAAGCTCTTCCCATATTGACACACCCAAAGGCAGGCACACCCCTATATCTGCATCCATCTATTACTGACACGACAATAAGCTTTATGCTCATCCTAGAGAAAAATAAAGTTGAGCATTTGGTGTACTTTGTGAGAAATGTGTTCAAGGGCACCAAGGCCAAGTACTATAAGATAAATAGTCTTACCATGGCGGTTGTGATAATTGCGAGGGAGCTTAGATCCTGTTTCCAAGGGCACAATGTCATCGTAAAAACCATCTACCCCATTCTTTGAGTTCTGGAGAAGCTAGACCTTGAAGAAAGAATGGTATCATGGATGGTTGAGTTACCTGAGTATAATATCCAATACACATCCAGATGGAGTATCAAGTCTTAGGTGTTAGCTGATTTTTGGCAGATTTTAATTCGTTAATGGGCGAGGATACTCCCCAAGCATGTATCTTATATGTGGACGGTGACTCGAACCTGAAAGTAAGTGGCACCATAATAATGTTAGAAGGACCAAATAACCTCATGATCGAGTAGTCCTTGAAGTTTAAACTTAAATCCAACAATAACCAAGCTGAGTACAAAGCCCTCATTACGGAAATGATCCTCTCCCTTGAGATGGGTGCTTCAAGCCTCAAACCTAAAAGTGGATCACATCTGGTGGTGAATAAAGTCATCAATGAATATCAAATGGAAGATCCCTAACTAATTAAATATCTAAAAAAAGTACATGAATTATCTAAATGTTTTAAATTTTTTGAGTATTAGTCTAATGACTCCAAACCCAAGTGGGGGAGTGCATTGTGTGGGTTTGAAAAATGGTGTTTTTTCCATTGCGGAACAAGAAATGGATGGTGAATCAGCGGTTTGGAGGATTACGGTGGATCTGAGCTTCCCACGCGGTGGAGATTGAGCTGACCTGCAAGGTTATCATTCAAATTCTCATGTCAGTATATGAGGGAGAATACTTGTTTAACAATTGTAGTTTCCTTGAGCAAATATCTCTTGTAAGTTTTATCAATAAAATATCTTTCAGCCTATTTGTCTATGTTAATTGTACTCTTGCATTTGATTATTACAACTATGATATTTTAAAGGATATTACCTTAAATATTTGTATATTTATTAACCCTTTTATTGATTCTACTATTTCTCTTTATATTGTCTGACCGATCCAACCGTCTAGTATCAGAGCCTGAAAGGGTTCTGTAATTGGATTGGTTTGATACAATTATTATTTTTTTGAAATTTTTAAAAGACATATTTAGTATTTCTAAAGTTACATATTTTCTTATTAACTTCAACCTTTAACCCTGAACTTTGAGTCTTATTAGTGTACCTGCTGGTAGTGAGTGGTATCGGTCGTAAATCTCGTGTGTTGAGGTCGTAAAACCATTGGTTTAGATCACTGTAGTTACAGTCCAAGAAACAAACTATAAGGGGTGGGAGAGAGTTAAGATGAAGACTAGTGACTTTAAGATCATAGTTTGGTTAGAAAAAAATCTTGAAAGATAATTTGTATTGAATCATGTCTCAAATCTTAAGGGCTTTGAGTGAGTTGGAAAGTAGTAGTCGTAGAGATCTGGACTACCGTAACAATCATTTCATTTTCCGGTGTAATCTTGGATGTGGTGGAGGCACTATCACTTTTGGTAAAAAGCTGATATAACATCTTTTAATTTTTCCATGAATTCTTTGCGATCCACGGTAGAAGATAGCGTGTCTAACACTTTAGATTTATCTGCCAAAAAAGCAGTATCTTCAGAGGCATATGAATTATTACCATGATATTATTAACCTTACATTATTACAAGCTGCCAAATTCAAACTCGTTAGATAAGCTCATACTAAAGTTTGGATGGAAGTTAAAATAATCTAGACCATAATTTAAGTTGGACTCAACTACAACTATAGTTGAATTATGAAAATCCTTTATTCTGTTATCCCGTAATACTATAAGGATTGGAGTATTCAATCCTAATTTATGTAAAGGTTTTATATCCACTTATATTAATCCTAAGTGAATATACTTGTAAACTTCACGATGATGTTTATCTAAAAGGTTTTTATTTAATAAGTTTATGGTTTCATGCTTACTATCGATAGTAGTTACCGACTCAGTTATATGAATTATTTTTTAAACATTAAATTCAAAGGTGCTAATCTTATAAATTTATTTTAATTTAATTTTTGGCATAGAGTAATTAACTAATTGACTTTCCGTTTCCTGAATCTCTAATTCATGGTTTTGGAAATTATCTTGATTTAATTCATAATTTGTAGTACTAGAAGACGCAGGACATAAGACCCTGTTATTAGTACTTATACGACTACTACTTCCCAACTCGCTCAAAGCCCTTAAGATTTGAGGCATGATTCAATACAAATCATCTTTCAAGAATTTTTCCTAACCAAAATAGTATCTTAAAGTCACTAGTCTTCTTCTTAACTCTCTTACACCCCCTTATAGCTTGTTTCTTGGACTGTAACTACAAAGAGCTAAACCAACGATTTTACAACCTTAACACACGAGATTTACGATCGAGACCATTCACTACCAGCAGGTACACTAATAAGACTCAAAGATCATGGTTAAAGGTTTAAGTTGATAAGAAAATATGTAAATTTAGAATACTAAATATGTCTTTTGAAAATTTCAAAATAAATAATTGTATCAAACCAATCCAGTTACAAAACTCACTCAAGCTCTAAGACCAGACGGTTGGATCGGTCGGACAATATAAAGAGAAATAATAGAATCAATAAAAGGGTTAGTAAATTTCCGTGCCCCAAATTTTTCCCTCT